AAAAAACCCCAAACGCCCCAGACAAGAAAAGACCCCTGACAACAGCCAGTTTTTGATGAAGGTGATTGAAAATACCAATCAGTTCATTTCATCGGCTAGCAAAAGAGAGGAGCCAGATGAAGACGATCTTTACGGTCAAAGTATAGGAAAAGAACTAAAAAAATTGTCGGCCTATCAAAAAAGTTTGGCGAAATTGAAGATTCAACAAGTTTTGCATGAAGTACGGTGGAGCACTCAAGAATAGACTTCTGACTCATAGTAATCTGGCTGCTTGGTGTGGCAATTTTATAATCCTGATTTCCTTTGTATCAATCATTGTTGACAAATAATTAAATATTGACTCATGACTTCACGTTGTTCACATCTATTTTGAATACAGTATTGCGTCAATGTGCCTTCCGATAAGATTAAAGAAGCATACTTTGGTTCGCAACTCACTTAATCAGTGACTAGACATATATATTTGTTTGTTTTCAATTTTCTTGCAAAGAAGGGGATTCTAAAAAATAGGATACGCAAATGTTCATTATAAAATCCTTGTCCTTCAAGCATAGAATGAACTTTATTTAATTAGTTTGAAGTAGAAACACGATTTTTTTAGTTTTTATCCTAGAGTTCTTTTAAGTTAAAAAAACATTTTGTTTCCAAGTAGATTTTTTTTAGCAAAATATGATGCAAGAATGAGCCATGAAAATCAGCTACAGCAGTCTAACTTTTACAAAGTTTCTGCCTTTCTAACTCCTTGAAATACATAATTCTAGGATGGGGGCTACAAACCATCACTTTATGACCAAATAAATGATGCGAAACATACTATGCTGTTTAATGCTAAATGCTAAGTAAGTATGTTTAATGTTTAATCCCCTTTAAAATGCAAGAAAAAAAGAAAATGATGCCCATCACGGCTAGCCAATTGTTCTATCTAACAAATAGCTCTTTGGAAAAAGGGTCCCTAATCTGAAAGATGTCATAGGCCCCTCAACCCCGCTCTGTATATGTTACACCCCTTCATCCGAAAAAGTAGAATTTTAAATTAAGAAGGCTCCTCATAACATAAAATGTTGCAGAACTTCTTTCAGAAAAATCGATTAATTTCTAGAAACTTGACCATGTTATCAAAATATTAAAAACATTAGAAATAATATTCTGTTAAGAAACTGGATCATAAGAAGTTCTGCGAATATAATCATATTGCCATGAGAGTTCACCTTGAGGAGAAAGAAAATAATCTGCAAGCAAAGATCTATAATATTCTGCAGCTTTTGAATAGTTATTTGTCCCCATTTTGCCAATATTCTGTAGAGCTCCAGAATCTGACACTTCATTTCGCCAAGTGCCCTTGTGAAAAATTCCATGTGAATCCGTAGTCAGTATAACCTACTGGGCAGTAAAAACGACCGTAAACTTGCTGCGTGTCTTCGTGTTTCTTGAGCCAGTTGTGAAGAGCAACCGATGCCAAAACATTTTTAATGGCTTTTTCTGGGTGAGCCTGTATTGGTGATCTTAGGAATCGCCATCTTGCTGAAAGGATCCCAAAAGCGTTCTCGACCACTCTCCTAGCTCGAGAGAGTCGGTAGTTGAAGATGCGTAATTTCTCTTCAAGGTTTCTTCCAGGGTAAGGACGCAGTAAATTATCTTTGAGAGGAAAAGCTTCATCTCCATAAAACAATACTTGGCTTTTGTATCAGTGTTTGGCAAGTGACCATGAACTGGAATATTCAAGCGTCCTTTATTCAAACATTCACCAAAGGAGAATTGTTGAAGACGCTAGAGTCACATTGACGTCCAAAGTCACCAATGTCAACAAATGTGAACATATAACTCGCATCAACCACTGCCATCAATACTATACTGAATGTACCTTTATAGTTAAAGAAAGCACTGCCTGAGTTTGGAGGGCAGTTAATTACGCAGTGCTTGCCATCTATAGCCCCCAAACACAAAGGAAAACCCCATAAATTCCAAAAGTCGTCAGCCAGGCGTTTTCAGTTTTCAGGAGTGTTTGGTTGGGCCACAGAAAGAGGGCTCAGTGCTTTCCAAATTTTTTCTGGCACCTCGTCAAGTATTTGGCATACTGTAGACCTCCCGATTCTGTAATTGAATGAAAGTGAAGCTTGAGATTCTCCAGTTGCCAGGTATCGTAAAGCTACTGCCATTCTTAACTGTGGAGGCAACGGCTTCCGTAAGTTTGTTGTCTTTCTGACCAAAGATGGGCCTACAAGTCCAAGCAAATCATCGAATGTCGAAGGAAGCATTCGGAAATAATTGAAGTACATTGAATGGTCTTGTACCCTCATTTCTTGAATCAGGTTATCATAATGCCCCTGACGTTCACGCTCCTTCCATAATTTTCTTACCCAAACCGAACGCCGTTTCTTTCTTTCTCTTAATAACGTTAAAGCAATAGCTTGGTTTTGTAATGCGAGAGCAATAAGCACATCTTGCTGATATGAAGCCATTTTATCTAACTAAAAACGCATGACGCGACGCTTCGTGACGCTTTGTGTGTGAATAGCATGAAAAAGTACTTGACGCGACGCTCGATGACGCTCAATGACGCGCCGCGCCGTGACGCGTCCAGTGTGAATTCAGCTTTATAAAACTGTATTGCTTGTACGGTGAAGTATATTTTGATGAGTCTCTCTGATTAAAGCATCGGGGGGCTAAATTCTGAAAGTAACAAAAACAAATCACATTTATTAGTTTGTGATAAGTAACAGTATTATTCGTGTTTAGTGTCTTTGTCTATAAAGTTGCCTCGTTGATGTTCAATTCAACAATGATGTTGAGTCATTGTATGTTCCGTTTTGGTAAAAAAATATTTCAATCACTCTCCGTTTAGCTTTCAATACCTCCCAAAGGTGTACTTCCGAGGAATTTAATTCATGGAAATTTTGGGGAGTGTTGATAAAAATAAGCTGTTTAATTTTCCCTCGAATTTTGGCAGGAAGGGAAACCCCATGAATCTGTAAAGCCAAACATTTTGCTAATTGTAGTAGACCTTCCAAATATTTAATTTCAATAAAAATTTCGGTTCTATAATGAATGCTTGAAGAGAATCGTCTTCCTGTCAAAACATTGGCCAACCTCTCGAACCGAAATGTTAAAGAAACCGCACGAGACTCAGAATACCTCATTTTGTGGCCAAGATGCTGTTTTTGATATATTAGCTTCAGATTACCGTTTCATCCGTTTCTGTAGCAAACTTAAATGTCCAGCTTGACTTTGCAATGCAAGGAATACAGTACAACTTGTCAAGAATTTTGCAAGTTTGCTGTGAACAGCATGGGAAAACAGAAAACACGCCGCTCCATGACGCATCGTGTGTGAATAGCATGAAGAAGTACATGACGCGACGCTCGATGACGCTCAGTGACGCGCCGCGCCGTGACGCGTCCAGTGTGAATTCAGCTTAAGGCTTGATCAACCAAAAATAAGAACAACGTAAGAACATCCCAAGCCTCACATTCAAAATTAGAAGAAAAAAACAATGGGTTTTGCTATAATAGCTATAAAGATTTATGCCCCCTGTGGTATCGTTATAGTACTGTATTTGTAGTAGTGTTTTATAAGTTTCTATGAGCATAAAAAATAGTTGCAAAACAAACAATTTTGAAATATAAAAAACCAAGAACATCGAGCCTTGGTCGAAATTATCTGATGTTTATAGATAGGACTGTAAAGTATTTGCGAAGCAAGCCGTGGCAAACACAGCCTGCCTAAGACCCCGTTTACACTAGAGTGTTTTATCCGGATAAATTTTCATCCGGATAAAAATTTATGCGGATAGGCTCTCCGTCTACATGAGCGAATTTTATCCGTGTAGATATTTATCCGCTTTGCCGTACAAATATTTATCCTGCTACGAAAGCGAATAAATTTTTGTCCGGATAGAAAATTATCCGGCAAAGGGGAGTGTAAACAGTTTTATCCGGATAAATTTTTATACGCATACACAGTGAGGCTATTCTGTTTCATATTGAGACCATTTAAATATGATAACGAAACGGCGCAAGAGAAAAAATTGGCGCGCTTTTGTTAATATTTCATGTCATTTTCGCTGTTTCCTGAACTATCATGGATGAAAGTTCACTTCAAAACATCACACTATCTCTGTTTGCATTTTAAGCTCTGTAGCTGCTGCAGCAAGGTTAACGCTCTGCTAGCTGTTCTATCTGAGAACGCAACTTGGAATCAATAGTTGACGATAGCAATTCACGGCTACAAAGAATAAGCCGTATTCTAAAAGCTTCAAGAAGAAATCGACGACCACGCCGATTCTGGGAAAGACCTTGGAGCAGCAAAGCAGTTTCCTAATCTGTCCATGTGAAGTTCTTATCAGCCTTCTTGCTACTTCCCGTCGATGTATTCTCCAATTTCTTTGGCGTTGTCGACTTTATGACAGAAATATCAACGTGTTCACTCTGACATCAATGAAAATTATTTTCGCGCGTTCTTAAATCAAGGGTTGTGCGCATGCCCAAATAAAAAACTCACCATTTAGTTTCACCGTGTAAACGGAGGGGCTAAACGAATAAAATTTTATCCGGTACAACGTAAACGGATAAAAATTTATCCGGATAAAAATTTATCCGGATAAAACACTCTAGTGTAAACGGGGTCTAATAATCATATTCTAATCGCTAGAAGGAACACTTACATCCGGTTCGATAGTTACAGATTGTTGAAATGAATTCTGGGCAATATCAAAATGATTTGTTGCCATGGCAGCACAACCGAGCGAAAACCATACTTGAGGCTACAGATGTAAAAAATAGAAGGTTAGTACCTAAATGCAAAAACTTACAAACCCTTGTATTTTGAAGGCAACTTGTTCATAGCACTACAGTTTATGACAACAAATTAATTTATTTGCTTGCAAAGCATCCGCTATGAAACAGAATCCATTTTATCTAGAAAACTCGATAGGAAATGATACTAAAACGAAAGGAAACATAGTAAAACGTGTATTTCAGTACAGACCAGCCTATTTCTCAATTTAAAATTATAGTTTTAGAAAAAATGCATTTTCTTTGACTAAAATGGAAATCTGAAAGAAAGGCGCGAAATTTTAACGATAAATATTTTCACTTATTTTTAATTTTTCTCCCCCCACTGGCTTTTAGATAATACTTTCTAATAATATTTCCGACAGGTCTTTATATCTTTACAGCTTTTAAGTCCAATTTCATATTTCAGTATTTCATATTTCATATCTTCCCAATTGTGTAACAATGGAGTGTAGAAGGATCAGTGGTCTAGTTAATCATAAAGAGGGCGATACTGTCTCAACACAGATGGCAATGTGATACGAACTAATTCAAAAACAAAGCTTGGTCAAGCGAGGAGCAAAAACAGACAAAGCAAATTCAGAAACAGCATCATGATAAAGCCCAAAATCGAAAATGCAGACGCCTTTGTTTGCCGAATATATTACGTCTACACAACCCATTTAGATATAAACAGAGAGTTTTCATTAATCCCATTTATATGCCAACGAAGTTTACCTTCTTAGCATGTATTAAGTTAACGATATCTTGCTTGTGTAATTTAACATTCGTACGCTGTCTCAGAAAGTCAACAGTTTCATTATAACTCGAAATATATAAATCTAAACAATAAGGAAAGATGATCAAACAAACCTGCAGTGGGCTAACTTCTAACGACTTTGAAAAGTGTGGAATACATTCTTGTAACTAAAAGAAAAATTGCTTATATCAGGATATACAGAATAAACGAATACTGTAGCAAATCATGGAAATGCGGGCCTAATTTTTAGCGATTTCGCAATTATCAACGCGCCAAGGGCCTATTGTTAACATGAAAGGTTGACTGACGTGGCCATAGTGATTTAGCCATACTGTAAAAGAAAACTACATCACTTTCTTGCTTGCTGAGTGTGTTCATGCAAGTGCATACATGTACACAAAAATAATACTTTTGGCAAAAACATGAAACAATCAAAAAGTAGATTTTTCTAAAGATAAGGGTTATTGATAAGAGTAAGGAGAATGTCCTTATTGCTTAATGTACAAGACACACTGTTAAGTCCTTGTTAGGAGCATATAACAACACTTAAAAGTTAATACCTTCCCAGATCTTAAGAGTATGTATCCCAATGACCTTTGCGCTCTTGCACTCCGATGCTTTGAAAATTCCCATGCCTTTTCATAGTATTCGGTGTCCTGAAAAATTGTTTCCATTTAAAAGAGGCACCTCTCTGAGTATTTCAAAGCACTGATTAATAGGTTTATCATGCTACCAATTTTGAGAAGGACAAATGCCACAGATACAATCACTGGGTTTCGTAGACACCACCTCCAGATGAGCTGAGATTTCAGATCTCTACATCCTTTTAAAAATTACAAACTTACAGAAATACGTCCACTCCATGCAAACTGAAGGACCAATGGAAACAATCTACGTCATAATTGCAAAGTAAAGGAAGTGTTTTCAAACAAAAGGCATATGGAATAGCCTTACATGAAGTAGCTAATTGTTCCATCCTAAATAGCGATCGTTGTGCCGTCTCTTTAGAAGAGACATTTTCATTCCTAATCGAACCATTTCAATGTAGGCAGATCATACCTTTGTGACGTCACCAAGCAGGCACCAAAGTGTTGAAGTCTCTTTCTTCTGTAGTTCTGATCGGATGATTTGCTCAGCCTCAAGGAGAAACGAAAGCCTAGTTAAGAATATTTATATTGCAGAACTTCTATCAAACTCCTGAACTCCAAAGTAAAATGGCTGACACAATCAAGCCTCAAATACTTTTATATCGGATATTCTTAATTAATAACCGAACTCACTTTGAGGGTGCATATACACTTATCTTGAAATATGTTCTGCTTTTAAGCTAAACATCGATGGGATGGGCAAAGCTTCGTATTGATTGGCGAAGCAGCAAAAGTTGGATTTCTTTGCACATAGATAACTAGAAACTATATGCAACAAACATATACTTATTTTCACCTTAAAGGGTTCTCACAGGAGCTTTCTTAAAAGGTTGTTGAAAAATAATAGACATTCGAAGATCAGGTTATAGAGAGTGACCAAACTGGATACCTTCTCAAGCCTGCCAAGCTTTTGATAACAAGCAATTAAATCGTCCCAGGCTTGTATTGCTTCAAAAATGTCCAACGCAGCTTTCACACAACCAAGGCTGACCAGAATACGAGCTAAATTCGCCTAAAATAGCAAAATATTCATAAATTTGGAAACAGGAAATAGTTTCTTGTCGGCCAGATTTCCGACAGGGTCATGGGATAAGATTCAATCCCTTCAGAATGTAGCATGCTGCAAATTGTGTAGAGCCTGCTAAGTACGTGTTAAGAAAATTTCATTGTAGCACTGACAGTCTTAGAAAAATAAAAAATTAATTCTTCACTACCTTATACGTCCAAATAGGAGGCACATCAACTGCATGAAGCAAGTACAGTCTTTCGTTGGCCTAAGATAAAGAAAACAAACATATCTTATTGTATGAATGCTGCAAAACAATTGCCTTATTCGCTCAAAATCTTTTAATTTCAAACAATTTTGTAGTGAATTGCAAAAAATGCAAAGAAAGACAACTGAAGGCCTATTTCATTGTACAGATTTATGCAAAAGTATGAGCCTTGATATTTCAGTATCACTACTTTTATCAAGTTGTTTATACAGATTAATAGTTGTGGCAGAAACTCTCGAAACATTTTTAAAAGGGTAAAGAAGGGGCAAAATTTGAATGGACGCGACAACAGAAATTTCAAGTGGCAGCTGACAAGTTGAGAGTAGTGTTAAACAGGGACGCTCATAAAGCTGTCTCACGGCCTTGCCCTTAAAATTACAATATATTGTTTTTGGGTTTCACCTTAAAGGCATAATAAATAATGTCAACGATTAGTTATGTGACAATTTTCGAACTGAGCAATTTAAGCGTAGAAGGGCGATTGGATATGTTAAAATAGCCTATTCTATACTTTCACAAAATCAATATGTTTCAATATAGCAGGGAAGATGGTCTAGATACGTTGTTTGTGCAATAAGTGTAAATTCACTGGCGACTGTCTGCTAAGAAATTATGGACTACAACATGATTTAGGTGGATAGGGCAGAGGAAATTTATTGTCCTCAGATTAGTAAAAACTGCGTATATTTTTATGTAAAAACTGCGTAAAATGTCCAATCAACCTGCGTTGCTGAGCTCTGATATTCTTCAACGAGGCTCTAAAAAACAATAAATTCAACGGCTTCATGATATTATCCATGTTGATAGCGTCATGTTTTTAAAAAACTGACATCAAAAGTTAAGATTCATTTTTAAGAAGATTTCAGTAATTGACTTTTGTCTCACGTATCTCTTTCTAAATAAGATGTCAAGATCACTTAAGCCAAGAATCGGGCAGGATACAGGTGGAATATTTATTAAAAGATAAAAAATACAAACTATAGATTTCTGGAACATCAACAATTACTGATTATTTCACATTATGATCTTTAAAATATACAAATTCTAACTACATGACACTAGTATTTAACAGGACAACGACAACCGGAGCAGGGACAAATTTTTCACCTCCATTTGCATCATAGATCTTTCTACCGTTCTCGATTTCTGGCACTCTAGCAGCGTGCGAATAAACAGTGCCTTGCTTTGAACTGCCCATGCTTGTGGGTCCTTAATCACAGCCTAGTAAAAGATAAAACCGGAGTTATCTAAACAACAAGTGCCCGTATATAATCTAAAACCCGGACTTATCTACACAACCGGTCCCAGGCGTCTCTTAAAAACGTGGTACGCCAGGTGTGTGTCTAGATAATCGCATATGAAAAAATTAAACAACTCAAATGGTAAATCATCTAGAATTCAATTGCCCTGAAATTTTTGTGAAGATTAAGCAAAAAGAATTCATCAATCTCATTTCATATCTCTTCTATCTCATTTCATATATCACAAATATAAATTGACGCTGACATTCATAAAGGCCTTCGAAGTGCTAAAGCTTCGTTTTTGCTCTCTATGCGGTAACTCATTAAATATACAGTACAAACCTGAATATAGGCTTGTAGCTCCTCTGTGAGAATATTGTCTTTTGGTCGGGTTTTCTGTAATACGGCACTGAAAAGTGTAACGCAATTTATAACCATCTCTAGCAACAAGACAGAAAACAAAGAAAACATGCGCATTTGCGCATTAAGTGGCTCTCTTGATGGGTGTGATGATGATAAGATCATATACTTTTGAGGAACAAAAATTGTTGAAAGTTCATTTTGCGAGGCCAAATATAGATAACTGAGAAAGTCTACTAATAATTAGAGCACAATCGAAGCAAGATTGTCGAAGCAAAGCGCAAAATTTTCAAGTAACATTTTGGGAGCTGCAGTGATGTCCTTATCTTAGCAGGCTTCTTGTTGCTTATAAAAAGTGATATTTAAAAGCCTTGGAACTAGTTAAAGCAATTCTTTAACAACATACCAGAGGCCCAAAATGTATGCTTGCTCTAAAGAATTTAACCATGGAGTTGGATCCTCGTCAGAATACTTTATGTTCGGAAGGAGGGTTTCGTCTTCTAACACCAGATCCTGGAAGCAAAGGTATGATATAAAAAGTATTCAAAATCAAACAAATAAAAAGCAAAAATGTTGGAATTTCCTGAACAGATTTCACTGTAGCTCTTAGAGTACATAAGAGATCTCTTTTAAATTCCGTGTTTGTTTATACTTTTGCTATTCCAACCAATGTCAAATGCTTTTTAATTTAGAAAAACGGAAAACGAACAATAACTATTTGAAACTGCACCATTCTTAGAGATAAAAACAAAAATGTATACTAAATTGGTAGCTGCTACCGTTGTAGCAGACGAAACGTTTTGAGAAAAGAAGCTCAAACCTTTGGTACATTTGCTTCTGTTTTTGTATTTCTATCCGGATTGACGGGGCCTAAAATCAGAGAGAAGTCTTTGAATAAGGCTGTCTAGAACATAGAAATATCAGTGAAAGACAATCAGTAAAACAGCTTTGTAAAGTGTGGCAACCAGGAGGTTATTGGAAGATTTCAGGGTTTCTTTCATATACTAATAATAGTGCAGTCTGTTACGTTGGCAAAGTGATATGGTGAAGAAGTCAAGGTTCCTTGTGAGGTTATTTTTCTAGTTAAATGTGTTAAAATTCAACAGCTCTTTTCCAAATTGTTATTTAAATTACTTTAGTTAAGTTCACTTCAGTTCAGGTCTCTTCAGTTCAGTTGTAATTCAAATTCCACTGTATACACACAGGGAATTATTAAAAGGAGAAAACTCTTTCAGTAGTTTATAAACAAATAGAGGAGAGAGTGGGTCTCTTGACGGGTGTGATGATGATTAGAACATATGTATTAAATACGGCCCGGGTAAAGACTTCCTTGTGCGCCTCAGAAATCAAGAGTATATTGATGTTGATTCTTTCGAAGAAGTCCCAGAGGATGAAATTTATTTAGAAGATGTCTCGGGGTTATCAGATGATTCTGGTGACTCTGATCAAGGTAAGGACACTTGATTAATGTCAAAATACTTTCAAAGCTGCTAGCAACGTTTTTTGAAAACATTTGCATGACATTTTTATAACAAAATAGTTTTTGCACGATATGTTTACTTTTAATAATTAAAAACCCCCTTCTCTTATAGCCTTACCCTTCTAAGACTAATAATAATAAATAACCCCCCCCCCCCCCACCCGGGGCTTAATAAAGCTTTTACGGTATGTTATATGAAAATATATGAAAACGAATTCCAGGACTCGATATGGCTCAAACTCAATAACGATTAACCTTGCAAGGAATTTACGCCAAAGTGGCAACTAAATAAAAAAAATTTCTTAAGACTATTCAAGAACGTGCAGAAGTAAAAGAATCGTGTATTTAAAAGCAATGTATCCCAAGATCGCTTTGACATACATCTCTCATCGGAAACCTTTAACTTGAGACGAAGTTGAGCTAATTCTTTTTCCTGAAATCTCGTTCGTTTTCCAGGAGCACCTACAAAATATTAATTTATAAGTTAAAAGACCCTAGGTAAGGGCATTCATTTACCTCTAAAGCAATCAAGAAGTCCGTTATATTTAGCTGAAGCTAGATAAAAGTATGTTTGACAAAACATTTTTGTGGGAACTAGCATTCTGAGATAGAAGAGAACAGGGACGAAAACAAGTGGCTAATTTTGGAGGGGCGTGGAAGGATGAAAATTCCAACTTTAACTGAGAAATTTTTCGTTCAACCTGAAAATCTCCTGTACCTACAAAATTGAAATTTTGAAATAGTTTCAACTCCATATTTCTAGTTTTCATCATAATTGCAAAACTTTTACTCATAATCATTAGCCTAAGGCATACAGGCCTAAATCTCTAAATTTGGATTAACATGACACAAACATTTAAACTTATTGTGAGAAGTAAACGCCCCCCACGCCCCCTATTATTTACGTGCAATGAAGAGAAATAAACTCAACAACATTAATAACGATTAATAGTGCACTGATGTTCAAATACCGACCTGTCATCGATACCTCGATTCCAAGAATTTCGCGTGCCTTCTCTAGATGAGCCTGTTATCAAAAAGGAATTTAGGATGAAATGGTACCAAATGCTGTATCTAGCCGTGATAGCTGTGTAACAGCGGTAAAGAAGAAATAAAATCGAGAATTTCTGGGTCATTCTGGGTCAAAGAGCAATTAATAAATAAGCAATTAATAGTCACTCCTTATTCTGCCTGTAAAAGAAAAAGGCCCACCTTTAACTTCAAAGGCTCGATTTTAATCGATAGTCAAAAAATCAGTTTATATCACAGAGTTGGGTATTCAGTGGGAATTACCCCCAAGGATTCAAAAACTGATTAATGATAAAAAAACATGCTGTATTGAACAGAAAAAATTTTGGTTTGCAAAATAAACTTTCACACATGAGCTTTTCGGATGTGGAGCTACATGCGCAAATTCCATTTCATAGGAGGAGGTTTTCTCTACTTGCAAAAGTCCCCTTTTGATATGGAGATTACCCCATCTGATAAAATCCGGGCTATGGGGCAGGGAATCATATTGCAAGCAAATATGCGATAACAAATATTCTTGGTATTTTCACAGGATAATGGCTTCAAAGGATATGGTATTCTCAATACCAACCGTTGCATTGTTGTATCCGTAATACTTCAAGTGTAAATGGGCACATTCAAGATGGAATTGTACTTGTATCTCACTATAATAAAAGGTGACAAAAGACCCTTAAACATAAATTAAGTACGATGATTATAAACAACAGCATGAGCAAATAACGATTTCAAGATATGCATGCCCTAATCACGGAATATCTACATCTGAAGATACAAATGCCTTCAAAGCAAATGAATGGAACTAACAAAAACAAGCTAAAAAGCCTTTTCTACCTGTCAAGTTCTGGAATATTCTCTTGAACTGAAAAACAGAGAAATAACTGGCATAAAAAATTAAAGCTTTGATAGAACGCAAAGTTTTTGTTTTATGACAGTATTAGAGTTTTGCTGTTTAGACCATTTATTTTGTATTTATATCTACCAGAGATCCGAAAGTAGCTAGTTCTTAGGACACTTAAAACCTTGTTGGGGAGACGAACAAGAAAAAGCTTTTAATGAGTGAGGCGACTTTCCATTGAAAGCGCATGCGCACTGAACAAAGTCATTATTACGCGTGCTCATTGACTTCAGGACGGAGGGTTGCCTCACACATTTGAAGATTTTCGCTCGTTTTTCTCCCCACCAAAACCAATGATTAGCGCGCAGTATCCTGCTCCTACCTATTGATGTGACCACACTTTATGATTCCGATGACTGAAATTACAGAGACCTGGCGACACTCCTTACTCTTAATAAAAGTTAATCAATCAAATTTAAATAACTAACAAAATCTAAAAGGACATTCAGAGACAAGCTAAAGAAATTAAGAACATTTCTGATACCATTTTCTAGAAAGACCAGGAACTTATCATGGATTGACTGGCACTTCTCTTCTACGATATCTTGATACGTGGCTAAACATCTCAAAGACCATATTGGAGAGTACTACAAAAAATCAATTGAAAACTTAAACACAAAATTATTTCCACTGAGTAGTAAATAAATTTCTTTAAGTCGATATTGTCAATAGAAGATTCAATAATAATATTTGTCATGTCATGTTTATCTAAATAATGTTTGGAATATGCAAACAATCTTTTGGTGGTACAAAACTTGTAAATGGCTTTGAAAAAAGAAAACATTTAGTAAACTAAAGCTTTTCGTCTGACACTCTTCAGAGCTTAAAACGTCAGAACATAGATCGAAAACTCTACGCTAAGAAATATATGTTTCAACTTTGAGGAATGCATTTTCGTTGAAGGGTAGCTATCAGTTTGTTAACTTCTGTATGACTTATGCTTTCGTGAAAAAATCTGTAAACACTAGCCCTCTATGATTCTTATAAAGACAGCCTTAAACACAAGCAAGGGCCATAGGCTTCGGAAGTCTTTGACAAATCAACCATATGCAGAATAAAATATTTAAAGCCTTAAAAAAATCTCATTCTTCCTTTCCATGCTTTCATAAATTCTGATCCCGATGTTTCTGATAGTTACCGCAAGTCCTCGCATAAAAGTGTTTATAAAGTCAAAAGATCATATAATTCTTGAACTGTTAGCTAATTGCAACAATGTTTCAAGCTAACTTAAAGTTGTGTTTCTTTTTAACATTATTAGAGCTAACTATGCATGTTGATCCAAACATGTGGCGATATAAAATAACGACGTACCTTATACGATACGATACTCGATATTTCCACCAGTATTTTAAAAGCAATCCAAAACAAGAAGACGTTTCGGCAGAGACCATGAATGCCCTAAAAGGGGTGCCAAAATATCATACAAGGGTATGAGATTTCAATCAACAGGCAGCTGTTTGTTGAATTACGAGTAACACAACAGGTAATAAGATATTTAAAGCCCTAGTAAATGTATCAAATGATAAACATACGATGCAAAGATACGATTTTACTCTACTCGAATCGTTCTGATCAAGTCTGAAATAATTCATCTACGTGAACAATACTTAACTGTTGTCTAAGTATAAACTTTAAGATTTCTTTGCCTTTTGAAATTTTTAATTCAGTCTTTAAACAAAAGTAAACCAGTAGTTTACATACCCAACGTTTACATGTTTGATAAGAAAGATAAAAAATAATGGAACAAAAAGCTTTCTTATTGAAGCTTGTATAATCGTTAATAGGAAAGACATAGTCATAACACAAGCTACAACCCGCAAGATTCATATCTGCTACTACATTATTCATTATTATAGGCTTAATGTATTCAGTGACCTAAAAACATGAAATTACTTTCAGCGTTTTCAAATGCAAGCAAACAGTATGCCGAAAATCTACCAAATTTTCTTACCATGCTAAAGATCTGAAACACAGCCTAAAAAGGGCTGGAATATTTGGAATTATCATTTTGATTTATCATGGGTTTAGGTGAAAAACTGTGCAACTAGGTGTGCCATTAGATAATAAAACTGTGCAAATCCCTTTTTCAAAACGTCTTCAACTCACGAATCGGCTACCCTGGGTACCAGAGCCACAGAATTTCGAGCGCGTAAACAGAATGCTAAGAAGAGACGCGGAGGAGGGTCTAGCTCAGATAGACACTCCTCCGCTTCTCTAACTTGAAAGTCCCCGTACGCGATTTTGCTCTCGGTTACACAGACCCTCTACTTTCAAGTTAGGGGTCTGGAGCACAGGCTAGTCCTAGACAGCATGTTTTTTCCCTTGCAAAGTCATTGTTCTTTTTGCCAGATCAGAATTACTTATCGATGAAGTTTCAATTTTTGTTCTCATCCATACACTCAATGCCATTAATATTACATGCAATTAATATAAATCCTAAAACTTCTACATATCTACATACGAAGAGTTCTCTGTTGAATTTCTTAGAAAATATGCGGTTTCTTTCCTTCTTATACACGATATTCTCAATTTCTAGCGTGTAAAGAACACAAGGGAACAAAACGGGGAGATTTTATCTTAGTTGCCTTAATGCGTCTATTTGTCATCAATTTGTAGTTAATCACTGTATTACTTTATCAATAACATGCTGTAATATTCCGCTGTTATTGTGTTGAAAAAAACACAATTGAAATTAAAAATTTCACGGTATCAGGTAAGTTTAATTCCGGTGCGGATTACACATCACGTGACCTTTTGTTCTTAATAACAGTAACAGCCCAACGCACACACGTAACGCACTTTGCACTAATGGACCAACATCGTGTCATACACAACTATACCATTTTTTAACATTTTTAGTAACGGACGATTGAATTTTTGCCTTCACCTTTGCCTTGAAGATACCTTGCTTCAATATTTTTACAAAGATATGTCCAGCAATCGTATGGTGCGTCGAATATTTTGGTTCTCAATCACACTTTTGTGCTGTTTTATATACTACACTCTAAATAACACACAATGGACATGGTATCTACACAACTCCGTTGACCAAAACATCTGTATTCTTCCAGAGTACAAAATGAAAGATATGGTCGAATTAACGAGGACGGCGCACGACGTGCTGAAAATGTTTAATCTTACACACATGCCATTTTATGGAAGGTAAACTTCACAATTTTTACCTCAACTTTCTAGTCCTTACATCTTAACTTTAACGCCAATATTTAGCATCGTATTTTGAAATACGGCCTGATTATAATTCACGAATTAGCTTGATAAGGGTAGGATCACGCAAACCTTAGTCCAACTTTTCAAAGGGAAGGGTCAGGTCCGAATATTGGCCCGGCTGCGGATCCGTACTCTTTACCGGTCGTAAATACGTAAAATGCAAAACCCTATCCTACTTTAAAGGAAAATGTACACCCCAGTGCCGTTGGAATTAAGTTCAAATCGGGGGGCTGCCCATTTTATTCCTCATCTCAACATTTTCATAAAGAAAATACACTACACGACAATTATTGGGGGCTCCAACCCCCCCCCCCAGCCCTCTACTCTGGTTTTGATGGCCCTGCACCCGTACTGTTTCAGCATTTTCCTGGCCATGCCTTAGACGGGAATTGGAAATCCATGGCTTTAATTATTTGGCCAGCTAGCTTTAGAGATCAACTGTGTTTACAAGTTGGATTTTACAACATACTCTGAGAGCTCCAATGAATTAAACACTGTTTTTGCCTAACTAAAAGAAATTGATAGCCAAGGACGCAGAAACTGGAGGGGTTGGAAGGGTGACATGCCCCCACATTTCCAATTATTGAAGTAAAGTGCCATCTGCAGCTCATTAAGGTGCCCCTTCTTTGCCAAAGTGTGCCCCTATTTTAAAATGCCCCCATGCTTATGTTTATGGCACACGCCCAAAATTTAACAAGCAATCAGGGGTATGTGGGGGCATGTCACCCTTCCAAGCCAAATGGGGTATGTGGGGGTACAGGTTATGTTTATGGAACACTCCCAATATTTTGTTTGTCAGCACATTGAGGATTTTGGCTGGATGGAATTTTTGTACTCAGTCTGTAACGTTTCGCAACACTTGTAACATACTAACATTTCTGTGTATCTGAACTTTCAAAGTATGACACTAGAGTAAAAGCTTTGAAACAGAAACATATAAAAGTAGCATGTAAGAGTATCCATATTTTGACCACACCCTTAAAGAGTGTGACACACCCATTTTGTTGGCAAAAATCACCTCTTCACTCATCCAAACAATTCTCTTGCCTCTGCCCTGCAAGCAATTTCCCAAGTTGGCCTCAAAACAAGCTTCATTTTATTAAATGAACAGTTCCAAGGTCACTCCAGTGTGAAAATTAATATTTTGACACATATTTTTTTACATAGAAACATTGCTTCATATTGTTCTCTAGTTTCCAACAATGATAGTATTAAAGAATCAAAAAGCCCTTTGAAGGCTGCACTTTTTATTCCGTTACTTGTTAACTAAGCTTCTATGCAATATTTTTACCTGGTCTAATTAATGGTATCAGCTGAATGTCACTAAAATCTTTTGGCTAGACTTGTGTAGACTTGTGTAGAGCAAGGGGGCTCACAGGGCTGAGGGGCTCAAGGGGCTGAGGGGCTCACAGGGCTTAGGCTTTGAGAACTGTTCACATACCTTCTTCAAAGGTTCAGACAAATGTCAGACAACTGATCATCATGCAACTGTCTGTTTTACATACCAAAGAGATTAGGAACAAATATATTTTCCCACTAACCAGAGTCAAAAACCTTTTTTACTAGGACAAGCAGACTAAATAAACCAGATCTTGTCAGTATTTGAAAGCCCATTGGCTCTCTCACAAACGGTACAGATGATATTGTAGTGTGGAAAAGTGAAGCAGGAGGTACTGAAAGAAAAAAACTTTTGTTCCATTCAATATTTAAACAAAGCTTTTCAAAAGGTACCAGTGTTGGATTTCCTTACTCTCAAAAGAGAACACACATTAAGAGCATTACCCAAATTTTTAAACCCTTGTCAAATTTTTTAACATATCATCTAAAACCCAGATGTTGCCTCCTCACATCCAAGTTCAGGTTACCCAACCTGGCTAAAAGTATACTGCAAAAAGCTCTTCAATATGTAAAAATATATATATATATATCCCAATTTGCTAAAAAGGTAGATTCTGCATTCAATAAAATTTATTGAAGATAGGTGTTTCCCCATCTTTCTCATCAGCTTGTATTTTCTCCTGAATGTTGCTATTGCCTTCCTTTCCATTTCAATATATTTTGATGTTGTGCAAGGATAGACTGCCTCCAAATTTAGGGCCTGGGCAAATTAGTCCAGACGGGGCCCTAAACGTCAAATTAAGTTTATGGGTATCCCCAAAGTTTTTATGGCAAAACGGCTATATTAATATTGCTATAAATTCTAATTAGTTATCGCCAGATATTTAGACATAGGTGTAAAAGTGTAAAAAATAAAAAAGGGGGCTACAATCCTTAATCTGGGTCTGCATCATTTTCTCTAGAAATTCTGACATAGGATAAGTGGTAAGAGAAAGGAGAAAAAATAATTGTTTTCTAGCTGAAGGATTTTTAAGTGGGGGAGATGGTAGCAAAGGAAATTTACTGGGAAGTTGTGAAAAAGAATTTATCATTTTTTGCATGATTTTTTTAGGGCTAGTTAAATCTGGCTGCAAGCTAACTAATGCTGTAGTGTCTCTATCACTAAACTGCATAACAACTATAATCAGGGACCTCACTATTGTTTGGTGGGTGGGACAACCCCTCAAACATAAAAATCTGCAATGAATTAGTATCCTGTCATGGGTGTAATTAAATTTCTAGGTTGTTCAAGAAATATCTTGATATGTTATTTTCCACTCAAAACATAATAGAGGTTGATGTTTTTCTGATCATTGGTTGAGCAGCCAGATAAATTGGTTTACTGAGCAGCAGCAAGATGAGAACAGTGGCATGGTCAGGAATGGTGAAACATTATTGAAATTGGGGGGTCAGGGTAAGAGGGTAAGATGATTAGATTGCTTAGGGGTTTAGTAAAGGGCACCACCACGGTTAGGAATTTTGGCCAAATTCAAGAAAAACTTGTCACAGCTTTCTATGCCTTACATGATCCTTATCTGATCAAAGCACAGACAATGAAGGGGGCTTGTCATATATTGTGTCATTATACTAAGGGGCAATGGACTTTCATACCTTTAGTTAAATTGTTTCAGCAATATGATTCCATTGTTAGTTGTAGTTTGTGACACTGAATTACAAGTTTAAAATAAAATAAGAGCCTCTTTTTACCATGACCTGAGGGTTAACTTTTATAATCAGAATATATTACAGGGCTGAGCCCCTCTGCATTAAAGTATTAAAGCATATTTGGTTTT